CCGTAACTTTATTTTTCCCTAGTGTTTTACTAGTAGTTTTAAAAAAATTATAAAAGATTTAAAATAAATGCAAAAAACTTTTGTAGGAAAGGGAAACAAAGAGATAGTAAAAGTCAAAAAACAAAAAAGAGAGTAATAGATAAAAAATAAAAAATGAGTACTATCATTGGACATTATTTCTCCCACTAGACAGTATTAAGTTCTATTTAGTGAATAAAAAAATTAAATTCTACATTGAAAATGACTTATGTTTTGTAAATCCGAACTAAACCATTCCATATATGAAGCATATATGAAATGAGAATGAAACCATATCGACACAAAAGTATAACACACGTTTACATATATTTGTCCAAATGTTAAATGCGGCACCATGTATGCATTACGTCGGTAATCAAATCATCCCATTCCATCTCTATCCAGTCTCCAACTATGGCAGTGTTTGGTGTACCGGCCGTGTACCCCACGTAGATGAAATGAACTTCCATTAATGAAGGGGTTTTCAAGAGCAAAAATTAGTATTCCCTACGTTCCTGAAAATCATTCTCATTTTGACTTTGCACTAAAATAAAGAAAGTGTAAAAGTGGTAGGGATAAGTATGACGTGATACGTAGGGTATGAAAAAGTATGAGTAAAAGTGGTTTTTTTAAATAGAAAGTGGAAGTGTTTTAGGAGATTAGAAAAAACGATAGAGGAAGAGTTTATGGAACAAAGGAAATACTTTTCACGAAATTTTCTAGTGTTTGACTTTAATTAATCAATGCTATCAGCCCCCTAAATAAAACTTTTGCATCTATTTATATAGGGGGAGGGGGTGCAGGGTGTTAAAGGAGTATAAACTATCAATTTCATATAGTTAAGTTTGAAACTCAGTGTCACCCAATTATGTAAAATTAAGATTTCACGTGCAAGTCTTGAAAAGAGTATGCCTGCACGAGAGAGGTGTGTTAAAATATTAAAAACTGTTCCTAAGCCATAAGCTTAAGCTTTTGGTTGAGTTGGTTTCTTGACAAACAAAAACAACAAAAATAATAGTAAAATTTCTTTTTATTAATATTTCTTATAGAATAATGAAACTCAAGTATTACTAGGTCCTAAGAGTATAATACATTGAGAGATTATTAATATAGAAAATATATTGATCTTGTTAATTTAGAAAATATATTGATCTTGAAGAGAAACCGCATATTCAATAATCAATAAGAGTATACAAGACGTTAATATATAATGTGGATTCCCGGGGCTATACATGGTAGGAATCGTACTAATATATTAACAAAAGGAAGCAAGATCATGTTATAATCATAGTATTATTATTATATTAAATATGGTAATTATATTTAACATGCTCCGTGCGGTCCGAGGGGTGAGGAGCGTATGCCTAGACTGTCTCGGAAATCCATAAACAAAAGTGAGGGAAGCCCTTTTGTGAAGATATCTGCAAACTGGGACGAGGATGGAACATGTAAGACGTGAACCTGTCCAAGAGCCACTTTGTCTCTCACAAAATGTATGCCTACTTCGACATGCTTTGTGCGCTGGTGCTGTACTGGATTCGTCGATAGATACACGGCACTGATGTTGTCACAAAACACAAGTGTGGCACGCTAGAGGGGGTGATGAAGCTTAAGAAGAAGATTCCGTATCTAGCTAGACTCTGCCACTGCATTAGCTACAACACGGTACTCAGCTTCGGCGCTAGAACGAGAGGTTGTGGCTTGACGTTTGGATGACCAGGAGACTAAGTTATCCCCCAAAAAGACACAATACCCAGACGTAGACTTTCTGGTGTCTGGGCAACCGGCCTAATCGGCATCCGAGTATGCCTGAAGCTAATCAGTCCGAGATTTAATGAGAGTTATCCCATGGGCAGGTGTGACGTGAAGATAGCGAAGGACCCGTTTTAAGGCGGTAAGATGTCCAGACCTGGGATCATGAAGATAGAGGCAGATTTGTTGCACTGCATATGTGATGTCTGGGGGAGTGAAGGTCAGACACTGTAGGGCCCAACCAAGGAGCGATAGAGGACAGGATTCGCAACTGGTGGACTTGCATCTTGCCTTTGGTGTCAACGGGTGTGGAAATAGGCTAGCAGTTTGTCATAACTGCGCGCTCAAGTATCTCATGAGTAAATTGTGTCTGATGAAGAAAAAGACCTCGTGCGGTACGCTGAACATTTACTCCAAGAAAGAAATGCAGGTCCCCCATGTCTTTCATAGCAAATTCCCCTTTAAGCTTCTAAATGAGCTAGTCAAGTAATACTGTGCTGGATGCTGTGAGAATAATGTCATCAACATAGAGCGAAAGGTATGCCACGTCCGAGCCTTGATGATACATGAAGAGAGAAGTATCATATTTGCACCCGTGAAACCCCAAAGATTGAATGAAGGTGGCAAACCGCAGAAACCAAGAGCGTGGGGCCTACTTCAGCCCATAGAGGGCTTTATTAAGTTTGCAGACAAAGTGCGGACGGGCTGGATCCTAGAATCCAGAGGGCTGGCTGGCATAAACAGTCTCCCGAAGTGTACCATGTAAGAAGGCATTCTTCACGTCCAGTTGATGAATAGGCCATCTGCGGCTTAAAGCAAGACTAAGTACAATTCGATGGTGGCGGGTTTTACCAAAGGGCTGAAAGTCTCATCATAGTCCATACTAAAGCGCTGATTGAAACCATGAACAACCCAACGAGCTTTGTACCTGGATAGTTCACCTGTGGCACCAAGTTTATGACGGAAAAGCCATTTACCAGAGAAAATTTTGACTACGGTGGGGAGGCACTAATTCCCATGTTTTATTGTTTATCAAAGCATTATATTCTTCCTGCATAGCAGCATACCAGTTAGGATCTTTAAGTGCACTACGGTAGGTAGGGGTAGTGGGGATATTGCGGCTGTGGTGTTGAGGTTGAGAATTTGTCTTGGTCGGGAGATTCCGGCTTTGGCTCGGGTGATCATGGGATGTTCATTGTGGATAGGGTTTGGGGTGGTGGGGAAGGACTGGGGGGGGGGCTAGGAGTGGA